ATATATATATATACATACATATAATTTATGCTGGAGAAGTAAAGGGAAACACTTACATTTAAATAGCTGCCAGGGATAACAGGCTGTCAGTATTAGTGTCACCAGCTTAAAGGGTGTGATTATGTGGGCCTCTTTTATTCATGTATGTTTTTTCACCTTGTAACAAAGGGAATTCAATGTCCTTTTAGGAAAGCAGACTGAATTCACTGCTTTCAAAGAGGACAACACTGACTGCTGGCATAAGATGATCAGATAGATGTTTTCACACTCTTTCTGATAGACCATCCCCAGAGACTTCATCCTTGTATTTTGTTAGCTTTGCATTCATTGCCATTACACTGAGTTCATTATTTTTGGTGCAAGCTCTTAAGCACCTTTTTGAAGTCTTTAGGGAGGATGTGACAGAAGGCCTGCCTTATTTACCTTAGCAGCCTGTCCGTGTCATCTGGTTAATCATGTGGTTAATCGACAACATTGACAATTCCCCCTGACTGCGCTTAACAATGATGACTCATTCATATTTAATACAATAGAGTATTTAAGTCATTCCACACTCTTCCCGAGATGATGGCCCCTCTTTGTTTTGGGACTCTAGAGAGTTTTATTTTAAACAGGCATATGTTCTTGCTCCTTCCAAAGAACAGTCTGCTGCAGCTGGACAAAAGGCTGGATCTTTATTGCTATTAGAAAAGTCAATAAATCGATTTGCATGGTGTGAAATGTGGGCTGGAAATCTATTCACATGCATATATCAGACCTTTGCTATTATTGAGCTATAGTAGTACACATATAAAAAATAGCTGACCAACTCTCCTTACCGACTGCTAATGTAATAATTAGCTGTAATGAAAATGAATGCTTTTATAAACAATATAGCAGTAATACTGGCTAGCTATTTTGTTTTTAGTTTTTAAAGAAAACATTAAAAAATAAATTTATAACAAGTTTAAAAAAAAATCAATACTTAACTTCTCTCCTCTATGTTTTTAGATAGTGAATGCAACTTTAATCGCATTATACAATACGAAGCATATACCAGTTGGTGTGGTAAATTGCAATGCCTGCACATTCTAATACTGGGGAAACATGTGTATAATGATTTATAGAGTTTCAGCAAGATTATTTTTTGGAAATAGTAGAATGGAATGAAGATATACTTTACATTATTGCACTCTCCAAAGACCGTAGCTTTGAATTGACAGAATTTAGAAAATTGATCAAGTTGTAGTAGTAGTAGTAGTAATAATAATAATAATAATAATAATACATAGAGCACCAACACCTTTCCTAGCACTGCACATGGTATATTTACAGGGACTACAACATTAACATTGAAAAAAGGCCCTATGTGAAAGCACAGACACAGTGACAGGTCTTCTTTATGGAGACATCAGGGGTCTATTAGACGCTCTTCTGTCATTAAGATGAGAGCTTAGCAGAGTCGGCTTTCATATCACTGCCGGCTCTCCTAAGCTCTCGTTGTAATGACACGTGGGCTTCCCTGGTTACCTAGTAACCAGGGATGCCCATGTATCATTACACACTGAGAATCCGTTGGAGCTGCTGTGGTAACCAGGGATGCCTTCTGTCATTACACCGCAGCTCCTCAGTACACTGAGAAATCACAGCAGCTACGACGGGTTCTGTGTGTAATGACAGAAGGCGTCCCTGGTTACCTCACTGGGTTCTCAGTGTAATGATAGATCAGCGTCCCAAGTTAACTGGTAACCAGGGACGCTGATCTCTCGGCAAGTGGCCGGAGCCAGCCGTGAGATGAGCTCCATTCGGCCAGCTTCGAATTACCCCTGGGTTCAGTCGAGCCGAAGCATTTGCCTTCGGTTCGACTGAGCCCCTCGGCCAACTTCAGGGGCTGTACGGGCTATAGTAAATAGCCCGTACAACAGCCCTGAACTGAAGGGGTCCTGGGGCTGAAGCTACCTGAAGGATCAGACGAAGCTACGGCTAGATCCTTCAGTAGCTTCGTCAATAGACCCCCTAAGTCTACAGGTAGCTTTGTGTTTTGGAGATCTGTTAACAACATTGTAGTTAAAGGGACTTTAATAGTAACCAAGTGAAAAGAAGTCACCAGCACTCCAGCATGTGTAATAGTCAATATTTATTGACTTCTATAGTGTCACATCATCATAGGCGACATTTCAGAACCACAAGGTCCCTTCCTCAGGCAAAACAGAGAGTGATCACAAAGACAAACATGTGCACATTATATGCCGTATATATGGTATATCCTTTGCACATGTTTGTCTTTGTGTTTACTCTCTGTTTTGCCTGAGGAAGGGACCTTGTGGTTCCAAAACGTTGCCTATGATGATGTGACACTTTAGAAGGCAATAAATATTGACTGTTACACATGCTGGAGTGCTAGTGACTTCTTTTCACTCTGACTTATTTTGCGGAGGCATCTGCTGTCACTTTAAGCATTCACCCTATATATTTTTGGTGGTTTTTATCTGGTCAGAAGTGCGATGGGCTTGGATGTTTATTGAATTTAATAGTAACCACTAACCACGAACTAGAAGGGGGCTCTTATCAACAGCCATAAGACTACATCTGACAAGTAGCGTAAAAGGGGCTGCTATTTGTGTGGCAGTGTA